AATATCCTGTTATAGTACAGCAGGGACCAAGCACTTTTTTTTTCTTCATTGATATTACAAAGAGAGAGGAAAGGAGAGGGAGAGAAACCATCGATGAGAGAGAACATCGATTGGCCGCCTCCTGCATGCCCCCCCCTCGGGGGAGATCATGTTCACAACCTGGGCATGTTCTCTGACTGGGAATCGAACCAGCAACCTCTTGGTACATGGGTCGACGCTCAACAACTGAGCCATACCGGCCAGGCTAACCTAGTACTTTGTTCCCCAGAGCCAGGAGGGGATTGGAAAGTAAGATTTGCTTCAGAGAAGCCCCATGTCAATATATCATCCTTTCATAACTTTGAATCACTAATATGTAACTTTCATTAGGAACAGTGGTCATTTAAAATGATTTTAGTTTTTTAACCAATATCATACCACTAGAGATATGTAACCTTTTTCTACTCATGAAAGCAAGTGTAAAAAATTACTGTTCCTCTTTAACCACCTGATGCCCAAAATGACAAGCCAGTTTGGTTTGGTCCTTAATTTATCTTCCGAATTTTGGTTTCAGGTCATTATCACAGGAAATGTATACATTTCTTTTATGGCCACTGCATGACAAGAATAAACTATTGGAAAACACAGTAGATCTGTGAGAATGTCAGGCTGACCATCAGTGAGACACACCATTTCTTTGTCTGATATGCACCCTGTTTGTATTTTCATCATGGAAGCTGTGATTACTATAAGTCACTATAAGAAATAGTTTTCTGTTGTATGAAAAGCCTTGATCTTCTTAATAAAACTGACATTTCATTGCTCCTTTGATCCCAATAACTTTTTCATAGAAATTAAAGATGAATAATGAGAAGTTTATCTTTCACAACCATGAAGGCTTTTCACATTCAGATTGTTAACTAATGTGAATTTTCATATTTCATGGTGCTTTACTTCCTATACTGAAAATAGAGATGGCTGAAGAGTGATAAAAGTCCGAGCCCTCTTTTTGTACATATTAAATTATACACATCATTTAGCTAAATGTAAATGCTATGATGAGTGCTTCCTGAGTAAATATTTTCCATTACTTGTCAGATGCAGCCATTAGATGATTCTAAAAATACTCATCTTACTCTCAATAGCACTTTTCCTGTATTGGTTATTTGAGTGCCAATTTACAATCAAGGGTGAAGTTCCTTGGGGTTTCATGATACATTGTATCAAAAGTGATCAGATGCTTTGAAAATCACTGATAATTTTTCCTAAACTATGACTGAAACTAGGCTAAAGGGAAGTAAAACCTCAGTTATTTCTAATGATTAATTGAGACAGTATTGAAAAGCTTTTCTGTTTGATGTTCTTGCCACTAATTTATTGTTTCTAAGGCTGATCTCCTTTATTTAACTTCTTGTTTTCTCTTTCAGTGTTATGTTATATAATTGACATGTCGGTTATATTGGATGCAATTATAAATGTGAAAAATATACCTTGTCCATGTTAGGTCCAAGGCAAAATAATTTTCAAACAGAGTACTAGATACTCAATCAAGCATATGCAGAATCCTAGGGTTGAAGCACTCTTGGCCTGGTGTCATTGACGCTACCCTACATATTGTTTCTCTGCACTTGAAATAACCCCAACTCTCTTACCTTTTGCATTGGTCAAATTTTCCTGCCTTTAACCATTTTTGTGATTTTCTTTGAGCTCTCTTAACATGTACCTCAATCAATCGTTAAATGACAATATAAAGGGTCTGGTATCTGAAGAAGCAGAGAATAATTTCGAGGTTCAAAACCTGAAAATAATGCCATTACCCCGCGTTTTGAGCTTTAGAATATAACCTTGCAGGTGATGTCTTTGGGACTATTTTGGCAACCCAATGATCTGTTCAGAAAATAGGACACATACCCTGATTCTAAATGCTACTCAGTTTTGGTGTATTTATTTATTTTCTTAGAATGCTAATCCTTTCTTCTATTATGAAAGGGAAATAGCACCTGCTACAGCTGAATGGAGAGACTAATTCAGATAGATTTTACTGAAAGATAAATATATTGACATGGGACAAAGAGCCTGAAAAAAGAACGAAAGAAAGAAAGAACAATATTGCCAAACAAAAACCTCCCTGGAGAACAAAGAGCATGTTAATATTCTGTATTAGATAAAGGAGGTTATTTGTTTCTGAATTCTTTATTATTGAAGTGGGTTTCTGATAAGCAATAATATTTTCCGGCCTCCTGGGACTCATCCCTCTTTGAACCACAGCTCTCTCCCTAAATTGAGTTAAAGAATTAATTCCCTTTTACTCTCTAGTAAAAAATTAACATTTTAAGGTTCATGTTGGGAGTCATCTATGAACAGTACTTGCCAAATAGTTGGCACCTACTTTTTGCTAAAATTCAGTTCATTTTTTTCAACAGATTAGTCTGTTTTATGTTTCCTTTATTTCTTACCTTAAAAAAGTAATGATACAAAACTGAAACGGAGATGATAGTGGCTAGCTGGTGCTTCTGGCACTGGTACCTGAAGGTCCTTCTTTTTCTGCAAAGTTGTTACTAGTCTTCTGTCTGGTCTAAGGGTCTGACACCCCCACCCACCTCACACACACCCCACACTTCCCATCAACCCACAGCTATAACACACACACACACACACGTAAAAGAGAAAGAAGAATGGTCAGTTTCCATTTATTCAGAATTTAAAATTTTTCAAATCTTAACTCTACTGATGTTAATTCCCTAAAGGTCAATAACACACACACACACACACACACACACACAGTGGCACTTACTATATTTCACCGGTATAAGCACTTTAATAAACTTATTTAGTCCATATAACATTTTGAGGTAGGTACTGTTCTGAACCTCATTTCATAGTTGAAGAAACTGAACTGAAGCCACATAGCTAAAAAGTGGCAGAGCCTGGAGTTGAACTCGTGTGTTCTGACTGCTCTTGGGTCACTCAGCATAATGCTCTGCTGTGGCATTCTATTCACCAAATCAGAAGAAATCCACTTGCTTTCATTCTTTTTATTTTATTTTTAAATTATTTTTTCTTTATTGATTTTAGAGAGAGGGGAAAGGGTAGAGAGAGAGAGAGAGATAGAAACATGCGTGAGAGAGAACGATTGGCTGCCTCCTGCATGCCCCACTGGGGATCAGGCCCACAATCTGGGCATGTGTCCTGACTGGGACTTGAGCTGGTGACCTCGGGTGCTCAGGTCAACACTGAGCCACACCAGCCAGGTGCTTTCATTCTTATTGAACCCCTAATGCATAGCATTTTATATAGTCAACGGCCCTCCTTTGCATCTGCTCCAGGCACTGGGGGTATTTCAGTGACTGAAAATCAGACAGAGCCTGTTTCTGCGTGGAGCTTACATTCTAGAGGGAGGGATCGGTAGTGACAGACAATGAAAAATAAGCAAAATAAAGTAAGTCACATAGTGTGCTATGTAATGGTAACACGGATAGTATGTGCTGTGGAAAATAGACATAACTGTATACAGAGAGAGAAGGATAGGAGGGTCTAGGTGTACGTCTTGGGTGGGAGTACAAAATAAATGGATGGGCAGGTGAGGCTCTTTTAAGCAAGGAGTTAAAGGAATTGGGAGCCAGGCCCTGTGGATATCTGGGAGAACATTGCAGGAAGGGGGAGGGGCAGTACAGAGGCTCTGAGGTGGGCTTGCGCCTGTCATGTTCAGGGAAGAGCAAGGAGGCTGGGAGGCTGGGAGGCTGGGAGGGCAGGGGCGCCTGCAGGGGACCAGGCCTGAGAAGTTCGGAGCGGGCAGAACAGCACCTCGCAGGCTGTTCTGGGAATTTGATTCTTTGAGAGAAATGGGGACCCTGTGGAGAACGATCAAAATAGCTGGTTATTAAATAGTTCTCATGACATAATCACATTCCTATAAAAAAATAATAAGGACTTTGTTTTGCAGAGGAAAATAAAATACATAGTATAATTATAGTAGGAGCAGTTTGGGGTGACTGAATTTTAAATTTTGTTTTTATATCTACTTAAAATTTTTTGGTAATAAACTTTTGTGACTAAAAAGGGAAAATATGTATTTCAATGACGCTTTGTAGTAAGATTTGTATAAATATAATCTGAAAACACTATATATGTGTAGAAAAGACTTGAAGGATATATACTCCAGTGTTAATGATGAATTTTATGTAAATAGGGTCGTGAGTGATTTTTCTTTCTATTTTCTTCGTATTTTGTAATTTTTAACACATGACAGGTATTGCCAACGTAATATTAAAAACATTATGAATTAGAGGGAAAAGTTCACATGTGGTCAGCCAGCAAACCTGCCCTGCAAGGTATTGTCCCTTCATCTTGCAGTCTGTGTTTTGGATCCGGGAGGCTGGGTGCAGGGCCGTTTGTACAGTAAGGGAAGGGGGGTACTCTTTCCTGTTTGGGGGAACCACAGAGGTGTCAAGGGCATCCCACTGTCATTTTAACTAAAATCTTCCTGCTATAAAAGAGAACAAGGAGGGGCAGATAGAGAAGAACTTGGAATTGCTTAAAACTGATGCCCTGTGGGGACTGAAATAACCTTGAATGGTCTTTCAGCTGATTCTTATACAAGGAGTTTAAAAATTGCATCCATCTTATTAAAACTATTTTATACTACAAAATGGTACGGTCCATATCACTTTTCAGGATTCATTCATTTCTTCATTGTTGTGGGAGATAACTACTCTTTCTTGATCTCTCAAATTTCAACTTGATATACTTTATTATTTCTGAAGCTTAAAGTGCATTAAGGTTTGAATGTTGCCAAATTTAAACACAACACTCTTTAATGTTTTTTTTTTTTTTTTTTTTATACAACTCATCCCAGACAAAGAGGCTTTAAAAACAGTTTTACAACAATTTTGTGGTATCCATTTTCAAATTCCTGTAAGCAGTACTATGTAGCAAAATGTAATGTCAGATTCTAAGAAAGTGATATAAACATGCCTAGATGGAATGATTGAATCATGTGATTTTTGTTTTGTCATTTCAAGGGAGTGAAAAAAATAGACCCCAAATTCTATGAAAAATTTATCAGTCACAGATTTGGAGAAGAAATGGTACACCGCATCGATCTTTGCTCCATGCTAAAGAAAAAGCAAAGTAATGGTTATTATCACTGTGAGTCTTCAATTGTGATTGGTGAGTGCCTTTTGAAAATTATTATTTTGATTTTGGTTTCTTTAGCATTTTTACTTATCTCTTTAGCCTTATTTTATTTTGGGAAATATTTAGGACTAATTGTATATGTGTTTCTTGATGACATATATTTCTAAGTATATATTTTGGGAATACACATATTGAAAATTTTGTAGAACATATTTAGTATTCACATGTATCAATAAAGGTTTTAGTACACAGAGTTTTTCTACTTTTGTACCTTAAATGTAATGAAGTCTTGAAATGTTGATTCAAAGTATATTTTGGTTTCATTTTATTTTTCCAGCGAAGTCCTACATGACTACACCATTCTACACTAGTCATTTTCAGGTTTTCTGCTTTTAATTAGGATAGAATGTTCCAGCACATAAAGTTTCACTCTGGGAAAGCCTTTGTAGGTGGCTTGCAAAGACTGAAAATTCGTCCTTTAATTTCTTCTCTAAAGGAGACATGTTTTGAGGGGAAATGAATGCTCATAAATAAATGCTCTAGCATCTTGTCAGGGAGATGGCATGTGATGAGACCGACTCGTGCACACTTATGTTTCCGAGTGGAAAATGTGTGCAGCAAATGAGGATTAAAAAAAACCAGGGCAGATCTTTCCTCATTGTTTGCAACATGCGTGTATTTCAAAGGAGCCTGATCTGTTGTGATTCAAATGTACTATTTTAAACCAGGCACTATTCTTATAAAATTGTGAACTTCAAGACAACCTAACATGAAAATACTCAAAGAAGGTAAATACATGATTCTAAATATTTCAAGGTCTTCACCCAAGATAATTTTTCTACACTTCTGCTTGAATAAAACCTATCGAAATATATGCCCTGAGAGATCTTAATCCTGAAGTTTATTAAAGCACTCCAAAAAATGTTCAAGAGACACCATTTTACTCCAGATTCTCACTAGATATCTTCAGAAGTCATCATTTTTACCTTCCAAAGATTTTAGCTACCTTAAACAGAAGATACTCAGTATGTCATTTGAATTTTGTGTTCTAGAATATTTCAAATCTATTTTAAGGAATATTTTTTTTGGCTTCAGAATCTCTTTCATGTTTTTAGAGCTGGCTTCCACTGAGTTTTGATGAGGACCAAACCTTTCTGTTTAGATTCATTGTAAAGGCAGATTTAAATCCTTCTGTATAGTGTAGATTTTGGCTAGCTTTCCATGTCTTCTCTGCAATTACTTTGGGCCAACCTTGAAGGGGAACTATGTCCTTCATTGCCTCTCCTGTTCCCACTCTCATTTAAAAAAATTAAACAAAAAAAGTAATGTGTGGATTTCATTGGCGATACCGTGGGACTGCGCTGTACCGTTTATGGCCTGCTCCGCCCGCATTGCCATTGGACGCTGCTGCTCCGCCCGCATTGCCATTGGACGTTGCTGCTCCGCTCACCCATTTGCCATTGGACGCTGCTGCTCCGCTCACCCAGTTCCCTGCGGAGCCTCTGAACTTTTTCTGATGGCTCATTTCCAGCGTAGTTTCTAAAATTCCCCCACCACAGGATTTCTCTGGATTTTTCCCCGTTAGGCTTCTTTATATCTCACCCTTTTCTAATTCAGAGCAATTTAGCTTCTTTCGAACTCCACCAATCTTGTATCCCAGTACCAATTACTTAACATTATTTTTAAAACATATTTTTACCCATTGCAAGAAGTATTTTTTTAGTCACATTTAAAAATAATATCTGCATCTAAATGATAATTATTATATTAAAATTAACCAAGTTTTACACAAACTAGAGTTTTATTCGCTATGGATAATTACTGATTTTCTCAATCTTACCTGAGTTTTGAAACAATATTTACCAGGATTTGGGACACTTCCTTTGTGAATGTCATTACTTTTTTTTTTTTATCCTCACCCGAGGACAATTTTTCCATTTTTTTGTTCAGGTAGAGTGAGAGGGAGAGAGGAACAAAGAGAGAGAGAAACATCGACGTGAAAGGGACACATTGAGTGGCTGCCACCCGCACGACCCAACCAGGGCTGGGGACAAACTGCAACTGAGGTATGTGCCCTTAGCGGGAACCGAACCTGGGTCTCTCTGGACCACAGGCCGATGATCTAACTGCTGAGCCAAACCGGCCAGGGCATGAATTTCATTTCTTGATCAGATTTAATTGGTTTGGCTTTTCTTTGACTTGATCCTAACACAAATTTAATGTCTATTTTCAGAACCTTGAACCAGTATTTTATTATATATATTAATAGAGTGGGACAGATTTCTGATCTTAAGACATTTTGTATTCAGAATCTAGGGTAGAATTTGGGCTTCAAGGACTCTGGGATTCCCCCTAAAATTGCTTATAAAACTACGTGTGTAGGTATATATGTGACTTTTCTAGAAAAATAATTTGCTAGATTTGCATATTTCCTATCTCTTAATTTGCTAATGGTGCATTCTTGGAGAGCAGTAGGTTCCAAATCACCTTGATTTTGTTTTCAACTGTCTCTATATTATTTCGGGCATCTTTGTTTTTAAAATATCAATGACTGTATGTTTCATTTCCAACTGATTTATTTATTTATTTATTATTGTTACAGATGTTTCTCCTTTTTCCCCCATTGGCACCCTCCTCCCCTTCCCTCCCCACCCAGTCCCTAGCTTTGATGTTCATGTCCATTGGTCATGCATACATGCATATAAGTTCTGTGGTTTATCTCTTCCCTCCCCACCCCCTCTTCTGGGGATTGTCAGTCTGTACCCTACTTCCACATCTCTGGGACTTCCCTGTTCTTCAGACTGTTATGTTCATTATATTCCACAAATAAGTGAGATCATATGATACTTGTCTTTCTCTGCTTGACTTGTTTTGCTAAGGATGACACTTTCCAGGTCCCTCCATGTCATCTCAAAAGATAAGAGCTCTTTCTTTCTTACAGCTGCATAGTACTCCATTGTGTATCTGTACCACTGTTTTTTTATCCATTCATCTACTGATGGACATTTGGGCTGTTTCCAGATCTTAGCTATTGTAAATAGTGGTGCTATGAACATGGGCGTACATATATTCTTTGTGATTGGTGTTTCAGGTTTCTTAGGGTATATTTCTAGAAGTGGGATCACTGGGTCAAATGGCAACTCAATTTTTAATTTTTTGAGGTAACACCATATTGTTTCCATAGTGGCTGCAGCAGTCTGCATTCCCACCAGCAGTGTACTAGAATCCCCTTTTCTCCACACCCTCGCCAACACTTGTTGTTTGATGATTTGTTGATGGCGGCCATTCTGACAGGTGTAAGGTGATACCTCATTGTTGTTTTAATTTACATCTCTCTGATGATTAATGATGTTGAGCATTTCTTCATATGTCTCTTAGCCATTTAAATGTCCTGTTTGGAGAGGTGTCTATTTAGTTCCTCTGCCCATTTTTTAATTGGGTTCTTTGTCTTTTTTTGTTGAGCTGTATGAGCACTCTCTATATATTGGAAATTAACCCCTTATCTGATGTATCACTAGCAATTATGCTCTCCCATAAAATGGGTTGCCTTTCCATTGGTGGTTTCTTTTGCTGTGCAGAAGCTTTTGAGTTTGATGTAGTCCCATGTGTTCATTTTCTCCTTTGTTTTTATTGCCTTAGGTGATGTATTAGTGAAAATTCTGCTGCATATGATGTCTGCAATTTTGTTGCCTACATTTTCTTCTAGGATTTTTATGGATTCACGAGTCACAATTAAGTCTTTTATCCATTTTGAGTTTATTCTTGTGTATGGTGTAAGCTGATGGTCTAGTTTCATTTTTTTGCATCCAACTGATTCTTATTCACGTTTTTCTGTTCTTTACTTTGTGGATGCTACTATTTCTTCATTTTTCTCTTGTAGGATTTCAATATAGTTCATTTATATATATATATTTTTTATCCTCACCCGAGGACATTTTCCCATTTTTTGTTCAGATAGAGTGGAAAGGAGAGAGAGAGAGAGAGAGAGAGAGAGAGAGAGAGAGAGAGAAACATCGACATGAAAGGGACACATTGAGTGGTTGCCACCCACACGACCCAACCAGGGCCTGGGACAAACTACAACTGAGGTACGTGCCCATAGTGGGAACCAAACCCAGGTCTCTCTGGATCGCAGGCCAATGCTCTAACCGCTGAGCAAAACTGGCCAGGGCATGTTCTTTTCACATTTTTTAAGTCTCCAGTTCCTTGGCTATGAATTCTTCTATAGGTTGGGTCTTTTGTGGCACTCTGTTTCAGGGCTCGTGTGCATGTTCCCCCTCACGCCCCGTGTGTGGTGTGGAGATGTCTGCCTAGTCCATAGGGTACACTGCTCTGAACTGGATCAGGAGCTGGCAACAGCAAACCACCCTCGTCCCAGATTTGGAGTTCATTCTTCTTGTGTCTCACACATTTGTTAGTCTTTTTTAAAGAGTAAAGATAATGAGCCCTTTGTCATCTTGGTTTCAGATATTTTCCAGATTTTATTTTGCATTTAATTTTGGTCACAAGTTATTTTTCATAGTAAATGTTCTAATTTTCTGTTAAGTTATAGATTTTTAAAAATTCTCCTGTGATCTGTCTAATAATTGTGACTAGAGTCATCTCCAACCAAAGATTTGATATGTCGATGTAAGAACTGTCCAAACCTGTAGAGATTTTTATGAGTTTATTTGAGCCAAACTGATGACAATTGCTAGGAAGCAAAATCTGAATGGATTGAGAAAATGCTCCGGAGAATGGCAGTTTTGCAGCTTACTCGATACATTAGAGCCAGAGGAGGAGGTGTAGGGAGGGTTGCGTGAAACCCGTTGGCAGTAGATTAAGGAGGTGGGAGAAAGTAAAGCGAGGAAATCTCTAGGATTGGATAAAAATCAAAATGGAGAGACATACTTTTTTTTTACATTGGGTGTACAGAATAGTGACTAATTAACATTTGCAACACTTAAGACCATATGTGGGGAACAGTGAAGGGTTCTGTGGTCACACTACTCGGGTGTGGTTGTGAGTGAGGGGTCTGGAAAAGGAAATTACCT